TCTCCAGTTTTCTAAAAACTTTGAATTAATGTTCCAGTTTTGTAAACAAAATCGAGAAAATTATTGAGTTTTTGGGAACGTTTTAAAAAATTCTACGATTTTCTAAAAAAATTCAAGAAAATTCAAGGTAATTCTCCGATTTTCTACTAAATTGCATGAGGTTCGCCGATTTTCTCATAAGTTCGGAAGAATTCTACGGTTATCTAGGAAATTCGATGAAATTCATCGATTTTCTAATAAATTCGGGGGAATCCTCCAGTTTTCTAGAGAATTCGACAAACTTCTCCGTTTTTCGAGAAAATTCTCCAGTTTATTAAAGAATTTGCGAAAATTCTGCGTTTTTATAAAAAATTGGAGAAAATTATCCAGTTTTCTGAAAACTTTGAAAAAATTCTCCGGTTTGCGTTTCAAAAAAGAATTTTTGATTTTCAATTATCTCTCAATCTACTTTCTACGTTTTTGAGAACTGAGAATTTGATTGTTTTTTTTTTGAAAATAGCATTGTTGATTCTCAATGATTCTGAATTAGAGATGCAAAATGACAGTCATTTTTGAGATCGCGTCATGTGACCAAAAAAGGACGGTCATGTGACGCACGAATTTCGTAACCACAAATGATCGCCACAAATAATTTGTAAGCAAATTGTTGTCAAACCATCTATATGGATACATAATGACGGTCAAACTCATTTCTAATTTGTGATTGTCATAAATAACATAGCTTCATCTGTAGATAGATGGAAAATGACCGTAATATTGATTTAAAAATGTACATTAGGCTAACGCAAAATGAATTCAAAGAAAAATTGATAGTAAAACAATGAGCTCGCATCTGTATAGATAAAAAATGACTGTCATTTTTTCTTGACCAATTGTGACGGTCATAGAAGGGTGGGGAAATTGTGACAGTTGTGGAAAACGTCTCGTCATATGACCGTCAATGACAGGTCATGTAATGCATTCGCACCTCTATCTGCATCTTATTTAAAAAAAAAAGAATTCTCAACTCTGTGGAAAAGTTGAGTGTAAATTGAAAGGCAATTGATGATCAACAATTCAATTTCCAAAATGCAAATCTAAAAATAAATTGAGAGATAATTGAGAATCAAAAATCCCATTGTCAAAAAAAAAATCCAGTTCTCAACTCTCAGAAAAACTGGAGATTAGATTGCGAGATTATTCAGAATCAATAATCCAATTTTCAACTCTAAAAAAAAGTTGAGAGTAGATTGAGAGATTATTGAGAATCAAAAATTCAACTCTCAACTTGCGAATTGAGAGTTTTTGTGAATTGAGAGTTAGATTTTTTGTTTTTGAAAATCGGATTTTTGATTAGAGAATCGGCGAATTTTCTCAAAAATTTTCTATATTGTAGCTTTTCCCGAAATTTAGCGCAAACACGGTGAGTTTCACTTGTTTTATTGTTTTTGTCAATTATCATGATTATTATTATTATTATTATTATTATTATTATTATTATTATTATTATTATTAGTGTTATTAGTGTTATTATTATTGTTACGGCTATAGGAAAGTGCAATACAGTGTGTTGCTCTATTTCCACGAGTGGGAGTGAGATGAAGGAATGCTTGGTACCCGTGGGCCCTCATTGGGTTACACCCCTGAGCTATCCGCTCGACAATTCTCATTTCCATACGCCGAGTTTCGGGGGTTTCAGTGGCGCCATCTGACACATTTTTCTATAACTGAGCGAGACAGTATGACGACAGCTGATCGCCTCAATTCCGATTCCACTGATTGTGAGAGTTAGCGGCGTCTAATCCCTTCGGGACAACTCCCGAAAAATAGTCAAAAGTAGTTCTTTTAACGAGAATTAGTTCGCGAGAGTGTCTAGTGTGTGTGAAAATTGGAATAATTGTTTATAACTTTGGATATTTACCGTCGCCATATTGACAGGGTGTCACGCGAGTGTGATGTGACTAGGGGAGATGGTGGTGTTTATTTTGCGTTATTTTCTAGTCAATATTAAAAATATAAAAACCTTTTTCCCCCCTTCAAGGCACCATTTCCATTCAGAGGCAATAAATTATCTGTTTAAAAAAAAAATCAGATTTTTTTATGTAACCATACGGTCGTAATTAGTGGAAACGGAAAATGTTTTTTTTTTACAATTTTCTGGGGAATTTTCTAGGGACATGTCGGGCAAAAATCCATCCAACCGGGCCTTAAATTTGTTCATCATTCTGACGTTAAACTCAGAGAACAGATGAGGACACAAAAAAAAATCTAATTATTAATATTTCTTTTTTTTTGCGTTGTTGGTTTTTTTATATTAATCTAATTTTGACTTAAAAGGAATTCAAAGGCTTCCGATAATGAATAAAATTTAAATATTGAATGGAATGACTCAAACAATTTGAATTATTAAATACCATTATTACCAAAACTTGTAAAATCAGAGGAAAATTTTATTGGATTAAAAGTCAAAAAAATTCATGTTAAACAAAAATCTCTCTTTCTTTTTATTTCTGGATTACCTAAAAACACTCACCATTCCCAGCTATTATCTTAACGAATAGGCTAAAATAGGTGAATTCAATACTCGTATTTCGGGATTTATCAAAGGTAAGTCTATGAAATCATGACGTAACAGAAGTATGTCCATAATTCTGCACACTAATTCTTGAATTAATTTTTAGAAGCCAGAGGTCATAATTCAGGCAAAATTGTCAAAGAATCAGAAGAAGAAACTGAAGAAGAAGATCGCCAAAAATAAACGTTTATCTGGTGAACAGCAGAGCTATGAAGCATTAGGCAGAAAGGTACGTACAATAGTACTGCACTATCAATATTCTCCTTGATAATGACGATCAGGGAATCGAATAGCCTTCCGACTCCATTTTCATAAGTCTGAACCTTTGTTGAGCTATATCAATTCGATGCAAAATGAAAAATTATCATTGAAATTCATTGTACAAGGACTCATCTTTGTGTTACACTCGTGTTGCAGGATTATTAATGTGATCAGGATGGCAGAGAGCAGGTTGACTTAACTCAAAATATGATCACTGCCCAGCAGTTGAATAATTCTGAGCTGGAGGACTCCCTAACCCAGTCGAATGTGATTGTTAGGCACCGACATGAGGTATTAACTTGCGCACTTTTGCTAGACTTCTGATTGAACTCATGATGTTGAATTCCAGTATCTTCTTAAAATACAGTCCTCAAAAAATATAAATTGGTCTGAAAGAGGTTCTTCCCTTAATACTTAATACTTATTTATCACATTTTCAGGATACAACACAGAAAACGTCAACAGAACAAAGCAATGATCAAAACACTACCCTCAGAAATTCTTTGGCCAATGATTCTGCTACCGAGAGTATTTCAAAAGACCATGAGTCACCACCCGAGACGGTAGGTGAATGGTAGCATATAGTAGTCTCCTACATGATTGTTACCCAAGAATTGAGTCTCCTGCCACCTCACGCAATTTTATTTCTATTCTCTCGAGTACAATCGAGCTATATCAATAAAAAAGAATTATTTGTCTGCACACAATGGTTCGATTGGTCCTAAATACTTTTTCAGGTTAGTGACGTCTTTGAAGATGCCCAATCAACACTATCATCAGACGGTCGTAATGCATCTGCTCTGAAGAGAAAGTCTCCACCCGATGCAGATGAGCCGGTCGACCGGCACACAAAGGTATTCACTGCAATATCCTTGATAAACTGCTAATTAGACTTTTTTTTTATATGCTGCTCAGATTGAGTACGAATTTTCTCAAAACGTTCCAGTCTCTAAAGATAATGATAGGCCCAAAGAATTCCTTACCGAAATTCTGCTTAATCATAAGGCAACTAATTTTCAGAAGGCAAATCAACAACTACTCCAGAAAGCTGGACATTGAAGCGACGCAAGGCCTCGTGCGATGATTCTGGAGTAGACACTAACGTGAGCGATCGCAGAATATTGCAAGAGCAGGTATGTACAATGAGATGACATAGTAATGCTCCTTCCCCATACCTGCTATTGGATTAAATCCCCTCCAGTCTTGTACCATATTTTTATTTCATTTTTTAACGTGCTCTTGATCTCTAACCAATTGAATTGATCGACAACGGGAGTTTTATAAAATGTAAATTTGGTAATAGCTCACATCTCAAGCCTGGCCGATTGAACCATCACAGCCCTTATCCCCTTCGTACACTGTACCTTATTTCTTTCTACGATGAATTTTTACAGAATGATGACATAGTGAAGATTAGGAGAAGTCAAATTGAAAAACTTGACGATGCTCCACAGGAACTATCTCCACAGGAAGTAACAGTGTATGGGACGCCTTCAAAGGCCAAAAAATTGAAAATTTTGTCAGATGTATTGTTGACAGAGAAATCCCAGGTATTTGCTTTCATTCCCCCAATGCCCTGTTCGTTAGATGTAGTATGCCGAATTAGAGATCTTCTGAAAACACTCCATTTTCAATTTATCTCTATAGATCGATTGTTCAGTTATTAAACATTTTCAGGTAATACAATCGCTTTCTTGTGAGGGAAATGGAACTGAAAGAAAGAAAAAGTTCTTTAGCAGAAACTCCGGTGGAAGAACGGATTTGAAGATTTCGAAGGCATTATCAAAAAAGGTATGGACTCTTCACTAATTCACTTTTACCCCAGACGAGAGAGTATAAAAGAATTCTTGAACAAGTACAGGAGTACCGGTTTGCGTAAGTCAAGCTCCACATTTAGAGCCCTCACCCAGGGCTCCCAGGGGAATTTTCACTAGATTCCATAGTAAAAATCTCACAACGGGAGATGAGCAATTCCACAGGATGACATTTACGACTTCATTGAAAGCGAGAAGGATCCATCAGACCAAAACCTTGAAAACCTCTCCGTGAAGATCTCTAGCGACCCTTCGCGTGAAACAACTTCACCACTTGGACCGAGTGAAGAGGACAGCGACGAGCAACACCAGTCATCTTCATCGTCCGAGGTGGAGTCGATGACGCTGAAACTAGCAGACGATGCTGGCAGACGCAGGAACGGTGGGAATGAGCACCACTGCGTGCCTCGCGAGGGGCACTCGCCGCTGTAGCCCGCAAGCTAGTCTCACATATGGTCGTTTTATCATTACTGGGGCCTTAATAATTAGATGCCTCATTGGGAATTTGATAAATAATATCCACAATATGGAAGAATAAATAAGTTCTAAATATTTATTATAAGTTTTCCACTGACACGCATATTACCATTTTTTAATTTTTTAAGGGGTGGGGGTGGATTTCCGGAGGTTGCAACGACAGATGGACTCGAAATTTTTTTTAGGGTTGCGGAAGGAANTTCTCAGTATCTTTTAACCATTTTTTACTGGTGCGCATATTAAGATTTATTAAATTTTCAAGCAGTGAGGGGTGGATTTCCGGGGCTAGCAACGACAAATAAACTCGAAATTTTGTTCTAGGGTGAGGGAGGAATCCCCCTAGGAGGGCCAATGGTCAAATTCAAGATGGGGGAGTTTTAAATATTTCTTATCAATTTTTAACTGGCGCGCATGTTGACATTTTCAGCATTTTCAAAGAGTGCAGCTGCATTTCGGGGGGTAGCAAAGACAAATGAACTCCACATTTTTTTGGGCGGTACGATAAGAACCTCCCCATAAGGAGAAATGGTCGAATTCGGGATGGGGGGTTCTCAGTATTTTTTAGCCATTTTTAACTGGCGCGCTTATCACGATTTTTAAAGTTTTCAAAGAGGGGGTGGATTTCCGAGGGTAGCAACGGCAAATAGACTCGAAATTTTTTTCTCCGGTGATGGAGGAACCCCCCTAGGAGGGCAAATGGTCAAATTCCAGATGGGGGAATTTTAAATATTTCTTATCAATTTTTAACTGGCGCGTATATTAAGATTTTTAAAGTTTTCAAGGAGTGGGGGGTGGATTTTTGGGGCTAGCAACGACAATTACACTCGAAACTTTTCTCTGGGGTGAAGAAGGAACTCCCCTAGGAGGGCAAATGGTCAAATTCAAGATATTGGAGTTTTGAATATTTTTTATCAATTTTTAACTGGCGCGCATATTGAGATTTTTAGTATTTTTAAAGAGTGGGGCTGGATTTGGGGGGGTTAGCAAAGACAAATGAACTCGACATTTTTTTGGGGGTTGGGGAGGAACCCCCTTATCAGGAGAAATGGTCTAATTCGGGATGGGCGGTTCTCAGTATCTTTTAACCATTTTTTACTGGTGCGCATATTAAGATTTTTTAAGTTTTCAAGCAGTGAGGGGTGGATTTCCGGGGCTAGCAACGACAAATAAACTCGAAATTTTTTTGTTTGGGTGAGGGAGGAACCCCCCTAGCAGGGTAAATGGTCAAATTCAAGATGGGGGAGTTTTAAATATTTGTTATCAATTTCTCACTGGCGCGCATATTGAGATTTTTAACATTTTCAAAGAGTGCAGCTGAATTTCGGGGGGTAGCAAAGACAAATGAACTCCAAATGTTTTTGTGCGGTACGGTAAGACCCTCCCCATGAGGAGAGATGGTTGAATTCGGGATGGGGCGTCCTAAGTATCTTTTAGCCATTTTTAACTGGCGCGCATATCAAGATTTTTAGTTTTCAAAGATTGGGGGTGGATTTCCGAGGGTAGCAACGACAAATAAATTCGAAATTTTTTTCTGAGATGACAGAGGAACCCCCCTAGGAGGACAAATGTTTAAATTCAAGATGGGGGAGTTTTAAATATTTCTTATCAATTTTTTACTGGCGCGCATGTTGAGATTTTCAGCATTTTCAAAGAGTGCAGCTGAATTTCGGGGGGTAGCAAAGATAAATGAACTCCAAAATTTTTTGGGCGGTACGGTAAAAACCTCCCCATGAGGGAAAATCGTCGAATTCAGGATGAGGGGTTCTCAGTATGTTTTTGCCATTTTTAACTGGCGCGCATATCAAGATTTTTCAACTTTTCAAAGAATGGGGCTGAATTTGGGAGGATAGCAAAGACAAATGAACTCGAAATTTTTTTGGGGGTTGGGAAAGGAACCCCTCTATGAGTGGAAATGGTCAAATTCTATATGGGGGAATTTTAAATATGTCTCATCAATTTTCAACTGCCGCGCATATTAAGATTTTTAAAGTTTTCAAGGGGTGGGGGTGGATTTCTGGGGGTACCAACAACAAATAAACTCAAAAATTTTTTTAGAAGATGAGGGAGGAACTCCCGTAGAAGGGAAAATGGTCAAATTCAAGATGGGGGCGTTTTAAATATTTCTTATCAATTTTTAACTGCCGCGCATATTAAGATTTTTAAAGTTTTCAAGGGGTGGGGGTGGATCTCCGGGGGTAGCAACGACAATTACACTCGAAATTTTTTTCTGGAGTGAGGGAGGAACCCCCCTAGGAGGGCAAATGCTCAAATTCAAGATGGGGGAGTTTTAAATATTTCTTATCAATTTTTACCTGCCGCGCATATTAAGATTTTTAAAGTTTTCAAGGGGTGGGGGTGGATTTCCGGTGCTAGCAACGACAAATACACTCGAAATTCTTTTCTGGGGTGAGCGAGGAACCCCCCTAGGAGGACAAATGATCAAATTCAAGATGGGGGAGTTTTCTTATCAATTTTTAACTGGCGCGCATATTGAGATTTTTAGTATTTTTAAAGAATGGGGCTGGATTTGGGGGGGGTTAGCAAAGACAAATGAACTCAACATTTTTTTGGGGAGTTGGGGAGGAACCCCCTTATGAAGGGAAATGGTCTAATTCGAGATGGGCGGTTCTCAGTATCTTTTAACCATTTTTTACTGGTGCGCATATTAAGATTTATTAAATTTTCAAGCAGTGAGGGGTGGNTAGGGTGAGGGAGGAATCCCGCTAGGAGGGCCAATGGTCAAATTCAAGATGGGGGAGTTTTAAATATTTCTTATCAATTTTTAACTAGCGTGCATTTTGAGATTTTCAGCATTTTCAAAGAGTGCAGCTGGATTTCGGGGAGTAGCAAAGACAAATGAACTCGAAATTTTTTTGAGGGGTACGGTAGGAACCCATCTATGAGGGGAAATGATCAAATTCGAGATGGGAGGTTCTCAGTATCTTTTATCCATTTTTTACTGCCGCGCATATTACGGTTTTTAAAGTTTTCAATGAGTGGGAGTGGATTTCCGAGGGTAGCATCGACAAACTTGGAATTTTTTTAAAAGTTCAGGGAGGAACCCCCTCAGGAGGGAAAATGGTCAAATTAACGATCCATGAAATGGTCCGTGTACTACGTACAAGTACATTTTTTACTTGTCCCAAGTAACAAAAGTACTTCTGACAAGTAATTTTTCTACTTGGTCTAAGTAACATACGTACTTGTGACATTTGTTACTTGGGACATGTACATAATACTGAGGTACTTGACGGGTAATACTTGCATTGAATTGTTTTGTTACTTCGACGAAGTACAAAAATGTGCCTTTTCTTCAGAACTGCCTTGGTAACGGGTTCAAGTATTTTTTCGACTTATCAGTTTTTTTTTGTGTCGCAACTATATACCCGGCCGGTTTTTGAAATCAGAACCTGTCGTATGTGAGGCAACGAACTTGCCCACTGTGTCAAGCCACCGGGCATATTCAAATTTGTACGTCAATTTCTTTCTTTCAATTTCTGAAAATGCAGTTAGCCGAATTCATTATTTTTTTAATGTTCTTTACAATGGTGGCTGAGACGGGGAGCTTGGATGGCGATACGACGCGGACGTGCATTCTCCTTCGGCGATATTTTCTCGTAGATTAAACAGTGATTTAAAGCGTGCAAAGTGCTACGAATTGTTGAATAGTATTGCTGAAGGGGCAAACACGCTCGGGAAGTTGTATTCACGGGCGGTGTACAAAATAGTGAAAGACAGAGCTGAAAAGCAAAGACGGGCAAGGGTACATGTTATGCTGCGCCAAAGGGGGAGACCCGCCAAAATCCTCCCGTCAGGGGGAGAAGGACCCGGCCAATAAAAAAAAAGAGCCACGCAATGTAGAAAACCGGGATTTCAGAAAACCCGACCCAGGAGCAAAGGACACAGAGACAACGACATTACCGACACAACGTAAGAAATTGGGGGAAAGTGCCAGATTAGTGAAGAAAGCCATGATGGACGGAATAGCAGGACAGATGCTCAAATATCTCGAGGAAAAGACAATCCCAAGCGAGGAGGCGGCACACGAGGGAAGAAATGACTCAAGCAACATCTCGGGCCTCTCCGACCTTTTCCACGCGTGTGATTCCCTGGAGGGAGAGGATGGGGACATCACAATCGTGAGCCTAGGGGATTTCAATAGAGGAAATTCCACAGTGATGCACTTCACCCTACTGTCAATCAGGAAAGAAGATGAAGAGCAACACAACGAGCAACACTTTCAAGGACAGAACAGGAATTTCATGGAGACCCCGGAACAGAACGAGTTCACCGGAGATAGTGACACACTACACACACTGGATGAGCTGAAAGACATAACTCTGGAAGAAGCTGAACACTAAGCTGACAAAGACAAGAAAAATGAAGCCAGAATAACGAAACAATTCGGAGATGACTTGGAGGTGCTGGAAGAAAGACCTACTACGCGAGCTGGAATAGGTTCACGGAAACTTGACCAACAATGGGCAGAGATCC